TGGAAGATCTACAGACGAAAACTAACAAGTTGTCAGAAGAGGTGAGGCAGCGAAGGAAGACGGGACTTCAAGTGGATGTAGAGAAGACAGAGGCGATGAAGATACCCAACCATTAACAACCACAACAACAACAAGCTCCGATCACCATGAACGGGAGAAATCTAAAGGAAGTAGTCTGTTTAACCTACCTGCCTAGGCAGCATAGTTTCAACTACAAGTGGTGGCACAGATGAGGATGTCAAAGCAGTCAGGATCGGGAGAGAAAGCAAGACAGACCTTCCTTCATTAATCTGAAATCAGTGTGGAGATCTACTGTACTCAGCATAAAGCGTGAACAAGATCCGGATTTTCAACACCAACCTCAAGTCAGTGCTTCTATTTGGTTCAGAAACTTGGCGCGTTACTAAAAGCATTTCCAACAAACTACAGGCATGCATCAACAAATGCCACCTACGCTTGATACTGAAGATCAGGTCAGAAAGAGTAAGCAACAAGGAACTCTGGCCTGGCAACGAATCAACCAAGAACCCATCACCCAACAAATATGCAAAAGAAAATGGAGATGGATAGGGGATATACTGAGATCATTTGGGGACATCACGCACCAGGCCCTCGAGTTGAACCGAAATGGGAGACGACGAGTAGGGTGTCCGAGAGTGACATGCAGGAGATCCTGAGAGGAGGAAATGAAAGCTTCTGGGCAGTTGTGGAGCTAGGTTGACTGAAGAGAATTGAGTGGAATAGAGAGGGTCTACTGAAGCTCTTTATTCCACTAGGAACCCATAGGGCAAAGAATAATAATAAATTGGGAAACTGTTTGGATGATTACTTCGCAAGTGATCAAACCAATTATTGGACATGAGTAAACGTATGTCACCTTTCAGGAGGCTCAATAATCTTTAAGTGATACCCAGATACGTTTTCTAATTGTTAGTTACGAAAACTCACACTTTAATGCTCATCTTGTTTTTGATAAGACAAAGTAAGTAGGGTGTACAATGTTACCGTTGTTTGTGCTAAAAATTACTTTAACACGATAAATTTTCAAAATAGCAACTCATTTTGAGTGCTTGATCACACAATTCCATTTTAAATATTCAGTTAGTTGTTGGATTATTTGATGATGCCAAGAATAATATAAACGATAATGGTAAAACCACAGCCCAGAATCTGGAAGAAAAACACATTCACCAACAACTCACGAAAAATGCACTTGTTTTTAATGACTAAAATAATACAGTCGACAAATGTGTATGACTAACAACAGGAAAAGAAGGTGATTTGAATCATTGGTGTACGTTGTTGAAAAGTCACAAATTAGGACGAAACGGCTCTACAGTCCAATCAGGATTTCAATGCTTCGCTAACTGATGTCAGTCTATGATGAATTTAGCAATAATATATTTCGTTTATTCCAAACCATAATTATGTTTACAGTACAGAGTTTTAAGCACTTAATATTGCATAAGTTTACCCGTTGTACAACATTTTCCAAATATATATTAAAAGTGATGCTGTTCAGCAATACATAAACAAGAATAATATGATTATTGAGGTGTTAAATAACTCCAAGCATATGATAACTGCTAGCTCTAGCAAAGTTGATTGATAAGACTATGTCTAACATGATTTTCTTTACACAATACACAAGCTAAATAAGGTATGGTTGAATTTTTGTATGTAGTTGTGTGCACATAGAGTTTAATATATTTGCTCCTTGCCTTCTTAGAGAGGCAGACATGGAGAGAGGTGCAGATGCAGAGGACGCTTGTCATCAGACAAAATATTTTTAACTTGTAGTCTACAAGAGTTCAGATGCCTATCCATAGCTGCCTCTATCAGCACGGTTAGCGGTGTACCACTTCCTCTACTAATAGCCTTCAAAGTCCTACGTAATAAAAAGTAGTCCTTTTTCTGGAGTCCAGGAAAGAATAAGGGCGAACAATAAGTAAGTATGAATAAAACATAGAAATTAATGAAACTTAGGAGTAGAGACTAAGTTATGTCAAATATTTCAAGTTGTTATTCATCGAAGACTGACATCAGTTGGAGGAACAAAGGAAACCTGGGAGCACTGGACCGCTGTTTCGTCCTAGTATGGGACTCCTCAGCAGTGCGCACCCACGACCCGCCGGCAGGGATCAAACCCGCGACCTTCAGGTCCCGCGACCAGCGCGTTACCATTGAGCCACTGGGTCAGAATCCAATGCTCCATATTTCCAACTTCTGTTAGCTCACGATATAGCGCAAACCGCCACCCAATGTCATCGTTGAGTATTTGTCCTCACGGCCATCAGGCTTTGACTCCACCGGTCAAATAGTCTGAGTTTCCTTATATAAAAGGTCAAGCGAAGGATTTTTCTGGAAATCAGTAAGATATGAGAGAGAAGAGAAAAATCAGAAGAAAAGCATAACCTAAGATGGATCACGCTTGATATATTCTCTACAACAGAGCTACCTGTAAGACAGGTCACGGGGTTCAAGCAATTTACAAAGGTCTTTTTCATGTCTTAAGCTAGAATTAATAATCTGACATTTGGAGGGATCCAGTGTGAGGCCATTTAAGGAAGACCAGTGACCAATTTTGGTTAAGAAGTTATTAAACTCAGAACAATCTGAGGAGATGACCGGCATGTATAATGTTAGGTCATCGGCGTACTTAACAAAGTTAGTTTTAGTTGAGGTTGGCAAGTCACGCAAAACGAAAGAGGAAAGGAAAGGAGAAAAACAGCACTCTGACGCACGCCGGTTTCACTAAGCAGCGAAGCAGAGCGCTTCCTCCTGTATATAGCGTACTTTCTTCTCTCAGAAAAATAAGAATCAAGCCAGTTTAGAATCTAGGACTCAGTGTGAGTTCTGGTAAACTTGTCCAGTAAAATGGGTCTACGGACAGAGTCAAAAGCAGAAGTATTATCTAAGAAGGTAGATCTAACATACTCAACACCTTTGTCTGTATTGGCAATGATATTATGATGTAAAAGAACTGAAGCATCTAAGATACTCCTTCTGGGGTTTTAGCAAACTGATTTGGATTTCTATAAGCCCCCAAAGGAGGTAAAAGCATACGAAGCAACAGTTTTTCCACTATTCTTAGGAACGGTGAGGTTACTGCGATCGGTCGGAATTTCACGTTTGCTCCAGAAGGTATGGACTTAGGTACTGGAACTATTTTTATTTCCTTCCAGGTGGTTGGTAAGTCATTTTTGGAAAAGGACTCATTAAAAATGTTTGTGAGTGGATGGCATAGAATATCAGTACATGTTGTAAAAAGAATACCTGGTATGCCATCTAGTCTGAGGCTTTGCGAAGGTTTCAATGAATTCAATCAATGTCTATAAATTAATAGTAATAATAATAATCACTTTGTTGCAAATAATAATTTTTATTACGGTATGAAACTCCCAGCGTAATATTTCAACTAATTTACTCATTGTATAATATTTTCAAATGAAATAACTATGGCAGTTAAGTAATATTGATAATAATGGTATGATAAGCGACAATACACAACGACCAGGTCATCCTCTATTTTGTCAGTACGTTGTTGCACGGGGGAATTAATAGAAAAGTATCCGTACATTTGATGGTGTAGTATCATTCAACCAGTATAAAGACTTTCAGTTCCAACTAACTATTCCTGTAACAGTTGTTCGATGTACTATTGTGCGTTCAGGGAACCATCACCATCCACTGTGATACTTTCTTATAATCTTGTTGGTAACCCATCTAACGATAAATCAAGGAAATCTTAAGAATGTGCGAGAGTATGTCTCAGGATTTGTTGACATTTAAATGAATAAAACAAGTTCAAAAGAAGCAATTTGATGAAATATACCCGATGAAAATATTTTGGTGGCCCAAAATGTATTCAGGCCGTCAAATGAAATACTCAAATGTAGTTGGCAGATGGTCACCAGTGAGCAAACCTTCGAATTCTTTCAACGCAAACAACAGAAGTCAATGGTGATGTTGCTGGCACCAATTTTACAGGGTATGCACTAAAACGGTATTTTCAACGTCAGCTGATAGGCCTTCATTTCATTTAGTGCAACTCAACAACTTTCATGTACTTGGATATGAGCACAATTACCAAATTGAATCTGACTACACACTGATCGGCGCAATCTAAACTCATCTTTAGATACAGATAGAAAATGTCCCAAAGTAACTCTAAATACTTTAACCGAAGTTTAAAGCCTCGGCATTTTTGGCAGAATTTTACATCGTATCAAACTTGTTTATTTGAAATATTACAGTCATATAGTTACTGAATGGTGTTTCTTGCATAAATCGCTCCTCTGATAATGTATCAAAGTAATCACACAACTTCCAACATCTGATTTTTATAGTTTAAATACTTCATAGTTTTGGTTTTCAGTGGTAGTAGAACCTTCCATATTTCCGGAATAGGTGTGGTGTGAACAAGGGTTCAGTAATCAATCTATAATGACAACCCAACTATACTGCCCTTGAATACGTTTGCTTTATCCCACCTTATTGCATGACTGCGCGTCAGTCCATGCACTTCAACAGTCGAGTTGTTTTCCTAGATTATTAATCGTGATCAGATAAGTCAACTGGAATTTGGTTAACTTCCCATGCTCTGATAATCGAACTGACCTCGATCGGCTGGTTTAACGCATGAATTTAACTCTCAAGTCACCACATAGTATTCGGTAGGTAGAAAATTACTTTATCTAATTTAGTTAGTAGAATCTTTAAGACGATAAATTCTATATCTGCTAGTTTATAGGTTCGGCATGTAGTTGGATCAATATATATTTAAAAGTAATATTACACTGATCGATAAGACTATTCTCCTACGGTCAAATTGTTTAAGATTAAAATTTCACCAATGACATCCGCTGATCAAATACACAGACATACACTCGTGAAGATCATGTATGACTCAGTGTGATTATATCAATCAGTTGAATAATAAAAAGGTACGACATGCAGTTCCACGCCTAATCTCATTTAAAATTTTTTTTATTTCACAGAAAGTCAAAAGCTAATGGCTGCATTGAAGTTTTTATTGGCATCCACAATGAAAGACAATAGTAAAGACGGTACACGGCAGAATTAACGAACGATCAGTGACCATTGATTGATTTTCCTGTTTAAAATAAACACCCGTAATAGATGTGTGCTTATCATTGAAATGCCTATGCTCACTTCTGTCTTATTTTAACCAGTGTTCTTCAGTTCAAGAAAGAAATCAGTGTTTATAAAACAATTAAGTAGAGGATGATAAAACTGGGTCAGATTTATCTTTGAAATTCAACTGTGGTTACTTTTTATGGAGAAAGAAGTTACAAACATAGAAAGCAATGTGTGCTTGACTAAACTAACTCGAAAAGTTCCCTGCATTTCAGATCATTTTGAGCACATTTACAACGTATCTAATTGCCTCAAAAGACTGATAAAAATACAACGTAGTGATCATATTTCCTGAACAGACTGTTTCAATGAAAACGATGGCATCACCGGGTATACCAGTAAAAGCTAATTCACTTTACGCTATTCCCGTTAGAAAACACAACACTAAAATCTGTTGTGTATAACAAAAAAACGTGATCAGAACCAGTGCTTGTTACAGACGTGATACGCATCAGTAAAGTGTTGCTCGTCCTTATAACTGAATGTATATTATTGAGGTAAGACTGCATCAGTCAGTGCCCACATAAAAGCTGGCATTACCACGTAACCATCCAACTTGTTACCATATATATAAGGGTTACTTTGACAGAACGCTAAGAAAAATATAAATAATGCAAACACAAGTAACACACAATCATAAAATGAAGATGAGAAGAAGTAACGCACATAATTAAGTGTGATATTGCAATTAAGATGGAGGATAATGGCTTGAATAGATGCTGGGTACCGAGATCCATTAAGGGACATATCACTTTGAATTTCCTAATACTTGCCTGCTGCCTCCCAGACCGAAAATCAGGAAACCTACATCAGCCTACAGTTCATAGACCCATGAGTTATGGACTGACACAACCCGACCGATAGCTGCTACCTTGACGTGGTGGTCGGGCTTGCATATCACAATGACCCAACGAGCTATGCTGGTGGAACGCTTGTTCCCTCGAGGTCCTACCATACCAGAAAGGTCTGTTGGGTAGTGGTTAGACGAAAAGCAGTTACCCTTATAGTGTAAATTGCTACACTATGATGGGGGTCTGAGGGCGAAGTCGTACTGCTGCTAGCTGGATGGGGTGTGACAGCAGTAAGGTGTTTCCCTTGGATGACCAGCAGTGCCATGCTGATGCTGCCTTCTCAGTGGAAGGGGGGGTTAGAAAAGGTCGGCCCCAAAAATAACACACTCCACCACGCCCCACGGTCTGGCGGTGTTGGTTCACTTGTCGTTTCCTTTCGACCATCCGGCCCCAAAAATACAAAAATTCAAAATAATCATACTCAAAAGGCTGGGTGTGACAGGCCTCAAGCAGATGTCCGATGGGCTCTGCGGTCACACAAATCTCTTTCAGGTACCTTAAGAAGAAATAGCCTTCCACGGTGTGGGCAGCCGGGAAGTGTCAACCGCCCTCACAACTCTGTCAGCACCCAAGTTTCTTCTGACTGCTATCCTCCTCCTCCATCATTACCTTCTAATCTTCCTTCACGTCTCTTAATTAATGATGCTGCATCATCTTCAATTTCTCCTACCTCTGCAGCCTTCGACAACGATCTGAGTCCACAGAACAGCATCCCTGGTCTCCTTAAACCACGCTCCAAATTACATATTGGAGCCTTCAATGTCCGCACCCTCCGTCAAATTGGCCAACAGGCTTCGTTGGCAAAGACTCTAGCAACTCGGGCATGGATGTGTGCTGTGTTTGTGAGACACGCATACAGGACCCAAGTGTGGTTATTCACCTGACCTCTCCTGACCAATCTGGTGAATCTGCAAAATTCACCCTTCGAGTTTCTGGAGATTCGATAGCTAGCTCTCGTGGTCTTGCAGGTGTAGGTATAGCATTAAGCACCAGGGCAGAAAACTCACTACTAGACTGGATCCCAGTTGATAGTCGCCTCTGCGCTATGAGGCTGAACGGCACAGTGAGAACTAAAAGGAATAGTGAGACTCGCCGTTGTCTCTTTGTAATCTCTGCTTACGCACCCACTGACTGTAGTTCGGATGAAGTGAAGGACGAGTTCTACCATAAACTGTCTAACCTCCTCTCGAAAGCCAAACGTTCGGACGTAGTGGTTGTTGCAGGTGACCTCAACGCACAGGTGGGTAGACTGAGTGAGGCAGAAAGGCACTTAGGTGGCACTTTCGGAATCCCAGCTGAACGTACAGATAACGGTGATCGCCTATTACAACTATGCTCAGATAACCGCCTATTTTTAGCCAGCACAAATTTCAGACATAAAGAAAGGCACTGTCTGACCTGGCGTCCACCGAGCTCGACTCAGCGATGGACACAGATAGACCACATTGCTATTAGTCATCGCTGGAGAGGATCGGTGGAAGACTGCCGCTCCTTCTGGAGTACGTGTTTGGACAGCGATCATGCGTTGGTCCGAGCACGTATATGCCTGCGTCTCAATGGACGTAGAAAAAATTTGGCAACAAAACCACTACGAGTTCTGCTGGACAACGAAAACACCAAAGCCGTGTTCAGTGAGAAGTTGGCTAGGCAGTTATCGGAACAAAAGACTGTCACTCATCCAGAAGAAGCTTGGTGCCATCTTCAGTCTACTGTAAAAGCAGCACTGGAGACTGTAGCCGACTCCAAGATAATGGCTAAAAAGAGCCAGTGGATATCAGCAGCTTCTTCCAAACTAATGGATGCACGTGAATGCATCCCTGCAGGCTCTGAGTACAATGAAGAGCGAGCGCAACTTAAAAATAACTGACGAAAAGTCTGCGCAACGATCGTGAACAGTGGTGGGCAGCAAAGGCTAAAGAGATGGAAAAGGCAGCGGCGATCGGTAACAGTAGACAGTTATTTAGACTTATTAAGGAGACTGGGGGGAAATGGTCAACAACAGTTAGTGAGGTTATAGCGGAGAAGGACGGATCTGCGATTCACTCGCAGGGAAGGCGACTGGGACGATGGGCAGAACACTTTGAGGAACAGTTTAACTGGCCTCCAGCCACCATTGCGCTGCCCGCTATCCAGTCGGACCCTGAATGGGACATAGAGACAGGTCCCCCAACACTAGAAGAAGTTGAGAAAGCGGTAGGTAGCCTGAAACGGGAAGGGCAGCAGGACCAGACGGACTACCTGCTGAGGTATACAAGAATGGTGGTAGAGTTCTCTTAGTCAGGCTAACGGAAGTGTTAGCCAGTATATGGGAATCAAATACGATCCCCTCCGACTGGTCTAAGTCACTCATCATCCCAGTCTTCAAGAAAGGCGAGAAGTCCTCTTGTGATAACCACAGAGGAATCAGCCTGACAAACATAGTGTCTAAGATCCTAAGTTCTATAATTCTCCGACGCCTGAGTGGAGCTCGGGAACAGCAAGCCCGAGAAAACCAGGCAGGCTTTAGACCTGGCCGTGGATGTATCGACCAAATATTCACACTGCGCCAGGTCCTGGAACATAGGCATGCTTACAGACGCCCGACAATAGCTGTATTTCTCGACCTGAAGGCGGCATTTGACTCCGTTGATCGAGAAGTCTTATGGCAGTGTCTGTCACTGAAAGGCGTGCCTAGTAAGTACATCACCTTATTGAAAGCTCTCTACTCGAACACTTGTGGGCATGTTAGAGCCTATGGTGAGTTGTCCAGGGAGCTATACTCATCAAGTGGTGTCCGTCAAGGATGCCCACTATCCCCATTCTTATTTAATTTTATCATAGATATTCTTATGGAGGTTTCCCTCTCGTCACCTAATTACAAAGACGTTGACCCGATCACAGGTGAATTTTCCTTAGATCTAGAATATGCAGATGACATAGTCCTGTTAGGTGAAGACGCTGACAAGATGCAGAGTCTTCTGAACACTTTGAGTGGGAATTTGAGAATGTTTGGGATGCGATTTTCACCACCCAAATGCAAATTTTTGCTCCAGGACTGGTCTTCAGCGGTACCGCGGTTAACAATAGAGAGTGAAGTGGTTGAGTGTGTTGACCACTTCACTTACCTGGGAAGTAGGATCAACCCGGTGGGTTAGTTGCCGATGAGATTTCTGCACGGATACAAAAGGCTCGATTGGCTTTTGCCAATTTGCGCCACCTATGGCGCCGCCGTGATATTCGTTTGTCTATTAAGGGTCGCGTGTACTGCACAGCAGTCCGCTCTGTTCTACTGTATGGCTGTGAAACATGGCCATTGAAAGTGGAAGACATGAAAAGGCTTCAGGTGTTTGACCACCGTTGCCTTCGTAGTATAGGACGTATTCCGTGGTGTCACCATGTGAGTAATGCAGAAGTTAGGTGTAGAGTTTTAGGGAGAAGAGGTAAGTCAGTCGACGAGGTTGTGAACCTTCATCGACTGAGATGGTTGGGACACGTACTACGTATGCCTAGTCACCGATTGCCTCGTCACACAATGTTGGCTGAGGTGGGTTCAGGCTGGAAAAAGGCCCGAGGTGGCCAGACTAAAACATGGCACCAATGTATGAAGTCTCTGACTGTTGGTTTAAGCCATGTAGGACGATGCAGACTAGGTGGTTGGGGTCCACGGGACAAGAGGAACCAGTGGTTGGAGACCCTAGGTGATATGGCTCAGAACCGAAGTCAGTGGCGCAGATGTATACACACATTATCCTCATCTTAACAACGCTATACCGAATCTCACTATTTTGTCACTCCTCTTTCCTTTCTTCTCGTACTTTATATTTCTTTTGACTGCATTCACTTATCTTCATCCTTCACCTCACTACCTTTTTACTTGATGCTGATATGAGGTGTGGCAACTCGGACCGTTACGCAGTAATGCCTGGTCCTATGTTGATAATGATGATGATGACATCATTTTCTGATTCTGATCACCCCTTTTTCCAACCCGACCCGACTTCAGCTACTTTGACGCTTTAGAGTACACGGTTGACTCGGTACGTGTACCACATAGTTGAGCCATTATACTAGTCTAAGGTTCACAACTTCAACTGACTAATCTCTTACCCAAGAATCTACGCTAAACTTAAGCATAGGTGATCGAGTCGACAAAAGCAAATATATTCAAATACCTGGGGTTTCCACATATCCATTAATTTTTAATAGCCATATTTCACTGCTTTGGAGTAGAACTGATATGCTTGGACATTCATTAGAAAACTCGTGCATAAATCATCACCTTTAAGTAACGAAACATCCAAGAGAGTTTGTTTACTTATTCGGAGGGAGCACGAGAATCAGATTAGTGTGCGTCGCCTGGATTTGAAATCCATTTGGTTGTTGAGTGACTATATCCCCTAGGGTTTAAGAACTACCAATCAGAGTGATTACAGGAAGATTTCTCCCTTTTCTTGAAGACTGGAGAAGTTAACTATTGAGTCAAGTGGGAGGGTAACAAACGTGACTAGTAAACCTCCAAAATATACCTCTATTAATATAACATATAATGCAGGGTCGCTGTCCTGAAATAACTCTGGTGTTAACACATAAAGACCCTTTCCCTCTTTTTTCACGTTTCACATTACCTACAGCATTCTTAATTTCAATGAGTTGAAAACATCACTTTAATGTCCCATCCAGTTTGAAGCTAAGCAAAACATGAACAAAAAACAGTCGACGACCATCTAAACTTCCCCTGAAGTGATCTACCCATTTTTCTACGTTATGCCACCATAAACAATCGACTTCACTACCCTAACAAGTCTTAATAGCTGCCCACTACTGAATATCACCACTACGTGCGTCTCTTTTAGCCTTCGACACTAACCCTGAGCATAGTGATTATATTATCTCTCTCCCAGCTTACAACTAGGTTGTTTCTGTTCCTCGGTCGAGTGGTGCTTTTAAGTGAACCAATATGGGGAGTGTTCAGCGACGGTGAGTATGCTTGTGTTCCGAACCTTGTCGAAGAGTGAAGATCTGATTGAGGCACCCTCACCCAGGTCTGAAACCTGACTGGTTTTCTCAGGCTCGTTAGGCGCTGGACAACTACAAACCCATGGGTCATGGGCATTTATTCAAACTGATTCACCTATGATTTTCACAAGAAGACCCAATTCTTCTAGACTGGAATAATTAACTATCGGACCGAAATGATAGTAGTTAAAGACGGTTAGAATGAGTCCTCTTGCTTGAAACACTATGTAATACATATACATACTAAATTACACATGGTTTGTGCGTTTGACTAGTCAGCATTGTGCGATTTCAGACAACTTCTTATCGGAAACTATGCGGACTCTGCTGATCCAAGACTACTATATCGAAGCGACTACAAACAAAATCTGCAGAAACCGATGTTATTTCAACTGGAGAGACGAAAATTGGCATTTCTGGATGGGCACAAACTTTTTCTCACCAGCCTACTGTACGATCATCAATCTTCAGTGACTTCGAAAAAAGCAAGTAATAAAAAGCACAACTAGGCGCGGAGCTTACCTTTATAATCGACCATCTATTTAAACACCCATGAAATAAAATGCAAGATGAAATTCTTTGATATTTTTCGTTTTCTGACAGCACCAGGTCATGCTTCCGAGTATTCAATGCTGAATTAATTCTGTCTGCGAAGTTACATATAGCTAATCGATATCACAATCAGATGGCGACAAAAGAAATTGGTCGATAGTTATGAGCAGGGAGTATCATTTTCATCACTATCCACCACTTCAAAATGACTGGTATCTCTGTAACTTCGAGGCTCAATGTAGTAGGTGTAGTTTGAGTTTCGTCGAGGGTTGGACAACACCATACCGATGAATGACAAGTGTAAAGCCAAGGTTTAAAGTTCCCATTTGAATCCCACTCTGATATCAATTAGCAGAGATCACAATGGATGAATGTCTGCTCTGTTTGGACACCCATTCAGTACCATCAAGGAGTCTGAACATATCACGTTCAAATATTTGAAGGCATGAAAAATTCGATCCGTGTTCATAACTTTTATTGCATGCTGAACACAACGTAGGCGATATTATAGTAAAAACGGAAGAACACTTCAGTCATATAAGTTTGTACAATCATTGTGAGGAAAACAGGACAACAAGGATGTCGGTGATCACTAGAAATTACCGACTCATTATTTATTACAAAGACCCGGTGGCAAAATTATGCACTGGTCTCACGTTTAGGAAGAACATTACACAGAGCTGATTTCTTGTATTATCGTACAGAGCAGCATAGTAGCGTAGTAGGAGGGTTATCTCCTTCAATAAATCTGGATACCATTTCGACCGCATGCCCCTAAATGCTGTAGAGTTTTAGAAGTCTATCTGAAAGGTATAACGTAACCAGATTTCTAGGATTAAAATAGCATCATCTTATACCAGCACTAAAATGTTCTCAATAATTATAATGAGCATACGTGATAACACAACTTGCATTCATTTACTTATGATAACAATCTACCAGAATACAAAGGCTATTTCCTACGACAAAACTTATTCTCTATGACTGAAAAAGAATAAGCTTGAAACTTACTACGTAAAATACTTTTGACTGAGAGGTAAATGGAACCCAAGTGGCGATAAGACCAGTTTTTAGTAATCTCGTTAATACAATCTGATTCTTGCTGACTTGTGAATTCAGTATGAAATGCTTTAAACTGTCGATATATTCACATATGCAATTTATGAGGGGATATTTTATAAAGCATTATTATTCAAGTCAGCAGCTTTGACGACTGCTGACCTTAGTCATGTAGACTTCTTTGTTAACAGGTCAATAAAGTAAACCATAATGATGGTTGAAAACGTTATGTGATTTGGTTTAGGATCGATCACAGTAGCACAAATGTATACATATCTTCAACACTAACTCATTAGGCCATATTTCAATGTTTGTTTCTTTGTACTTCCCGACTTGCACCTTTTTAACTTTCAACCTTATTTTCAAATATGAGATGCAACAACATTAACAACAAATGATTACTATTCAGGTAACTATCCTTCTTAGAGTATTTCTGTTTTTAATTTGACACTGAGTAGAGACAATTCAATATTTGCGTAATATGTGCTGTTTGTAAAACCCTGTTCAACTTTCTCCCAACACCTTCCACCTTTGAATCACTCAAACATGTCTACTGAATAAACTATACATTAGCTCTTACTTTCAAGGTAAATTAGAAAATGAATGAAAAAAGTAAATTTCCTGTTGTTCCACTGCAGGACAAATACCAAAATCAGTTCGTAAAACAACATATAACATTCAACGTAAGGAAAAATAAATAATTCATTAAAATGTGGAATTCTATTCCTTAACTATATAACACAATCATTACTATTATTATTATACAACAACTTTAAAAAACCAAAACAAGTACAAACACCAAAAGCAAACTCACTACTACAACTGATATCACTGTGGATAGTAGTTTGAAAGATATGGAGAGGAAAAAGAATTTTCACTGTGATATGAAAGATTCCGATTATAAGCAAACATTAGACTGAGCATAAAAGTGTTCCACTTTTTGTCACCACTAACAACAACTGTTCATTTCACCAATAATGACCGACAAAAACACAAAAAACAACAATGATGACAGAAAAAATGTAGATTAAAACTGATAGGAACAGAAGCGTGAATTATATGGAAAACCATACAAGAATAAGATGGTCAAACGTCTGGCAAAACCACGAAAATAACGATAAAATAGTGGTGATGATAGTAATGGTCGTCAACACTTACAAACAAGATTATTATTGCATAATTGAGATTAAGAGAAACGGATAGAAAGAATAGAAGGAACCCGTTTGCAGTTTGCTTACTAATCTCCGTAATGGAGTAGAGAAAACAGCGATAAAAGATATAGTTATGTATAAAAATTATCCCTTCTTTACGCTGAGTCTAACACCCTACATAGAATAAAGTTACCAATAATACAAATTAACTTCTCTTGGTGTTCAGATAAAACTGTACATTATATAACAGACTGTTAACAGAAGTCATGTGAGTCAATGAAGATATGTGCAGTAAAAGTGAATATCGAGTGCATTTGTGTATAGAAAGTAGATAAAACCAGATTAAAGAAATTCACGAATACAGATATGCATGAGACAATCAATCAATTCCTTAGAAAAATTTGTTCTACTAATTAAAGAACAAATTACAACATGAAGAGATCACAAAATGAGCAAAATATTACAGACATGAGGTCAGTACTCAGAAGTGATAACTGACAAAATAAACGCAAAACTAGATGAGCATACAAATAATAATATACAGATGTAATTCACACAGAAGAAAAGCCTGAAATGTAGAATATGTGTGCATGCACTCGACACGTGCAACTAAAACTATATATATATATATATATATATATATATATATACCCATAAATGTAAAACATATCCTTTGGTTCCTTCTGTGAAAAGAATTGTTTAGTTATTCTACTTTACTGTTGATAGTTATCTGCCAAATGTGTGTCGACATCAAAGTATAAAAAATTTAACCATCCGATTTCGGTGGTGTGTACCAACCACTTTCTTCATGAATTTGAACCAGGCTCCGATAGGATAACTGAGCTCGACGAAGTGAATATTGATCCTACAATGCAGATTGGCATGAAAGGTTTTAGTGATTTAGGGTTGAATATTAGAATAATATCTGAATACCAATCGACTGTGCAACATCAACTTGTCCCTGAGGACAGGAAATGTGCCTGGAAGACTTAGCATCTAGAGTCAAATGTGTCACACAGTAACATTTCAAATCACACTCGAATATTTCAGCGGTCCTTAGAGATATGAAGGCAGAGTTCCAAGAAAGACATCATCTTTTGCCAATTATGTACAACTGTCGTAATATTCGTGCAGAAATGCAAAAATAAAAACCTAAAGAACTTTGTGAGCTACTTATTTCACAATACATTAACGGCTTTTAAGTCAGAGGGTAGTCTTCACTATCGAAATCGAAATGCATTCAGAAACCTTGTGCACATTTGTGAAGTAACCAATTAGCCACACCTATTGTGTGACGGGTAGTGATACTACCTGGCTGCCCAAACCTCGGTAGATGGAGTACGGCTAGAACCCGCGACCCATTGGTTGAAAGTCATCTCCATAAACCAATGAAGCACAGCTCCACAGTTTCACTATGCAGTTACGTGGACTGGAAAATCAAAGCACAGAGTAGTGGAAATTTGCTCCAGTATATTTGGAGATATCGTTAAGCGCTTTAGACTGTCGACTTTTTATCAGGTCACATTTAAACTCAACTCCGCCTAATGAGGTTTGGGCAACTAAGTAGTACCATGAGCCCTGAAATCAAGTAATAAGCGTGGTTTATTACCTAGTAAAGTGAGTATTTGCGTGATTGTTGACAAAGTCTCTTCGGCCATATTTTGGCATTTTATAACGCCGATTACCAACTTTCTTAATTCTATACAGTACATACTGAAAATTATCAGTTGGCATTTTTTCCAACTTGAGTTAGTACAACCACGGTTGATTATCTGCTTGCTTTCTCAAATTGGGCTGAAATACCTGTAGAGCGCTAATTATAACTTACGTTTCTTCAAAAACAATTCATCTTTTTTAAAAGCTTAACTCGTTTCACACTGACACCGCCTTTGAATATGTTGATTTTTCCCTTCTTAACTGTATCCCTTTCCGAATGGGACATAGTGAGATGTCTAGTATGAGTGGTCAAATGGGTTACTTTAGTCTACGACTTGATACGACTGACATTTAAATCGGACGGTGGTCATTCCAAGGTAGGATTGAATGAATATCAAGAGACTGAATTGTTGGCTAACCAATGCATATATACATTTTAACGGCATCAACATTCCAAAACACCAATAAAATATTTTTTAAAATCGCCTACACAGAAAGTTGAGAAACTGAACTTCACTAAGCACGCTAGTGTCGTAAGTGATGAGTCCCAACTGTTGTGAGAATTAGTGATACTAACCAGTAGCCCAAACGTCGGCAGGTTACGAACAAGTGATCCAACCGTTGGAAGTCAACCGCCTAAACCAGGGCTCCCCATTGTAGACAGCAGCAGTCTTCACACAATAAGTGTGCACCTTGCATTCCAGTAAACAACATTGAGTTATATTTTCATTCCATACGTGCATAGTATAAATAATAGCAGAAGAACATATACACAATATGTTGAATAGTCATCCACCTGTTGCTTTTTTTTATTATAAGCTCGCTTAAAGTAACACTTATGGAAAGACGAGCAGATGAGAATAATGATACCGGTAGCTATAAAAAGCCACAAAACAAAGACAGGAGAGGATAATGGCGTATAGCATTATGATTTTGATAAAGATATGTTATGAATGCATCTCTGCTATAGTTATGATCTAGTCACTCCAGTACTCCATTACGCATGTGCAAATCACATATTACCGAACAATTTAGACAAGTTATATTAAGTGGAACATTGAATAATGAACTGGCGCTTCATAATCCACTATCTAATTCACTGAAGAAGTACCACCCGTATTGATCACCAGTTAAAGAAAGGTAAAACAAAAAAATCTTAAGACATCTACAATCACACACACGTAGAGACAAAAACAAAACCTACATCTGTTGCACTGAAATTTATGCGAGCCCGACCCTTGACCAAAGTGGCGGCTATCTGCATAATAGCCGATTCAATGTCATAGGCACTTGACCAACCTTGTTTAGTGAATAACTCCATGCATATGGCTCCACCAGCTAGAACATAACCATTCTCAATGATTGGATACAGAATACGCACAAAAGGCGGTTCAAAAGGATAGGTTTCCTGTACAACAATATTGTTTTAAAGGATAACAGTGAGGAAAAGCATGAGTAAAAGAATGCAGGAATCGCACATAATAATTATCTAAACAGTCTGTAAATTTCAGTTGTTGTTAATTTCAGTAATTAACCGACTATGATATCATTGTCACTTCCGTCGGAAATTAATCTACAATTTGGGTGACCGATCGGTATGTAAGTGAACAATCATGAGCAACTGGAAGCCACATCAACAAGTGCGTTTCACTAACTACAAACACACAGACAACCAATTTAGAACTCCACAGAGAAATAAAACGGTTCAAGCTACCATACCCCACAGCAGCATACAAAGAACAAGTGGGATATCAGAGTAGATGAAAGTGCATATGAGAAGGAATTTGAAAAATGAAGGCTAGTGCAAATGTTCAAACTTTGGTACATATCAAAAATTGAGACTTAATATTGGTATCACGGAGTGAAGCCAAGGGAGGTAACAAAGAGGAGGAAAGCAATTTATGACTAGTGGGATCTCGCATACTGCTGGGAACATGCCGGCGGTTGATAATCCCCTGCTGTCCATATTGTGGAAATAAGTAAGAGAGAACTAGAAGATGGGAAGCCAATGTCACTCTGTCAAATATATTTGTCTATTATCCACTCATAGGAGCGAAATCCTACTGTTTGAGAGAAATACATTACGAGACATTATTGAAGAACACTATTCAATATTGTGAAAAAGCTATACAATGGTTATGTAATTCAGAGACAACAAAATATTGGATATAGATCAGATATATCCATACAACTCATCAGTCGTATATCTGCAGGATAATAAAAACCAAGTTCTACTATCAGTTTTTGATATCGCAAAAAAAATTGTGATCACTTTTGAAACCTAACTGAAAAATAAGAGTAACCACAAATAAGGGTACCTACTGAAAGGTGATTACACCAGGTTCAAGTGCGATAGTGTTAATGACCTACTTGTTCGATTAAAATTTGTGACTAAATTATTCAGTATCTTTGGGCAGACTACTGGGAATTTATGACTAGTTGGTACTTCCTGACCACTCACATTCTGGACGTCGCTTGCGTGTGAGGTACCCTAAGAAGACGGCGGCTTAGTTCTGAGTGGTCCCAAAGTTCAACGAACAACTGCTCTTTCTATAGTCGGTCACACGATCTCCTTTGGGTGAAGGATTTAGTTTTGATGGTGTTATGTCTTCCCTAGAAAAATCCATACCCCAAATGCCGGTAAACCTCATAGCAACGAGGGGCATTATTTTTAAGGGTCAACATTCTCTAACCCCTCCATCAGATAAGAGAAAGTAACATCAGCATTGAAAAACATGTTACTTCTGACACACACTGTTCGGCCAGTAGCATGTCGGGACATATACTGTTAGTCATGGTTCTGAAACAATAACAAGCCAACCTGTGTATTCGGATAGCACATACCTGAAGTCAGTAGTCAAAAAAAAGCATACTTGCATCTTGGGAATAAAAGTATTCATTACAATAAAACTACAACTAATCAACAAGTTTGAAGAAGAAAGCACATCCTGACCTTTAAGCACCGGTTAACAGCAAATACTACAATTAAAATTTCTTCAGCAAAATAACTAAGACTATGTATTCAGTCTACACAATCCAATGTAGTGGACTAGAATCGATGATGTGACTCAGTTTTCAAGTGCACGTTCATACACAAGGAAAACTAGCCACAATTATTGCAGGAAGGATGTCTAAACTTGGGTATGAAGTATGAACTTCAAGTCATGACTCATTAGCTGAAACTCGAATGCTGCTACTAATTAGCCACAAGCTAAAAAAAGCTTTACAACTGACGTTTACACAAATTGTTAGCTATCACTTCACTGTTAAAAAAATAAAACAGATTCCACAATATAAGCCATGTATATGACAGATATTTTTAGTATACCGTTTTCTAAATCTGAGAACATTTAAGTTTTTCTAAACCTTCTTTCTTATATTTCAAGCTAAAATAGGCATTCTCACGGGAAACATTTAAAAAATTGTTTTCAACACCTACTTAGAAATTAGATCTAAGAAGACCATGTAAAATCAACTCTCAAATAAGAAAACATATCTTGACGAACAATAAACAATAAAAGTTCAGTACATTCAAGCTTCCCGTCATTGATCATTACGATTTCAACACAAGTCAGTTATGCATTTGAACAATGGTGGGCGTATTTAAAAGTTATGTTGTATAGTATAACAACTAAAATCTCTGAAAACGTTCACAACCAATCAATATATTCCGAAGTTGCGACGGAAGTCACGTAACCATACGCGTTATTATCAGATTGGTTAAGAAGGCAAAATCAGTACAAAACTTATTTCAAGATAGAACTGAAAAAAACCGAGGTCTATATATATATATATATATATATATATATATATATATATATATATATATATATATATATATATATATATATATATATATATATAATTGACCTTACAACAGAATTTCTACTTTCGAGAAATTGACCAACCATTAATGGTGGAATTTAAAGAGCATTGTTCAGACGGTCATAGATAATACGTTCGTAATTTAGCGCAACACAAAAACAATGCACAACTCTGAGTTTTAATAAGATTCTTCTTAAATACCAACATCCTCTCAATAAATAAAAATCGGTTCGGTACAAGACTTCAGAGTTGATATTGGTTTCGCAACCTTGTATCAATATTTACCAGTACGCCTCCTAGAAAAGCCAAATTGACTTATCTATCAACTCATACCTTCGTTAGTGATTTACACGTAGAACACATGAAATCAAACAGTTTTGTCAGGTTATTTAGAGTAAGCTACTAAGAACATGTGTTAGGGGTCAAAAAAATTATTGGACAGTTCAAATATCTCAGATAGTTTGAGTCCCAGAAGTGTGTATCTAAAACAACTAACCTTGAATAGGAATTGTAATCCCAGATGATCTTCCAGTTTCGGATGATTAGTGAGTTCTTGAAGATCTTTATACAGTCCACTATCCTTATCGACTCTTTAAAGCAGTGAATGAAACGAAATTGAAAACGATATATTGTAAAATTAATAATTTTCTGAATAAATTAAATATAATTTATCAAGGAACTAGACTACTGAAAGAAAACTGAAACCCAAAGCGGGAAATGCGTTTAAGTGCCAGACTATGCGGCATACTTTTGTGTAAGGGCTCCTAGCACTACTCAATAGATGAAATAGGATTTGAACTCATGATCGTATTGGAAAATATCATGAAGTCGAAAGATGAGACGTTAGGTGCTCGAAATTAGGAAACGGTTGACAATATGTATGTATTTTCGCTTTGCATCTGCCAGTCAGGTTAACAGTATAATAAGACCTTTCATATCTAACTTTAACAAAACATTCATGAAAGGGTAAGTAAAACCGTTTTGTAATTCAGTAAAATGGTATTGGAAAACAAAATCATGAGATACAATAGGTAGGTGGGATATGTGTAACTACAACACTAAATCGATTACATAATTTAAACCTGTGAAAAGAGTCCTTAAAAAGTGAAAAGAAACTAGTAGGTGAAAACAATCCGTTTAACAGATCGACAGATCTCTCATGTAGGAACGTACACACATTATTAGCCTAAGTTCGTTTCACAAGTTGACTAATAATAGCTGATTTCGATCTGTACTACTACTACCATTGGTATGCTTTGGTTTAGCTCTCCCTTCAATCCGAGGGGATATCGAAACATGTTGAATAAAACTTCAGTTGTACGGAAACTAAGACACTAGTAGGCAAGTGCTAGCAATTAGATCGCGCTACAAATATAATACTACACGTATCTTTATAAACTAAAACCACTTAATGTATTGTAAATCAAAAAAATGTTGTACATCTACCTATCATCCTTCAACTTGTTAAAAACTGCTTTCTGTATCTGCTAATGAGAAATTTACAGGTTTCTTGAAAACACTACACAAAAACAACCTTAGATGTAATCGACCTTCTGTGTTAGACCAACAACGCAGCAAAAAACGTTATTCAATTTCCCTGTCGGTCTTTAGTAAGCTAGAAATATCGCTTTGATGTAACATAGTCTATAAGTTATCAAATCGTTCTAAACTTCTTTTCAAATGTTTTTGTATTTGGACAGCATTAACAGTACAACTTCAGCTTTCATTCATTTTTCAAAAGAATAAGTATCCATGAAGATAGAAACAGAAGTCTTTCTGAACTGGTTTTTCGTTTGATTTTCCTATTAGTTTATTGCTATCGTATGTCAACTTTCAGAACTAACAATAATATAATCGAATAAAAAATGTGTGGCACACAAATTTGTAGTGAGCTAGACATAAGGTGAAAAAAAAACCAGAACACTGAGGTTTAAGTGATGATAGTGTCTACGTTGAAGGATTCTGACTTTTATTTCTTGTTCTAGCTTTAATCGACGAATATCCCAGTATGCTTATCATAACCTCTGGCTCATTGTGCCAAAAAAATGACCCTTAGTAATTTGACTGCGGTATCACGCTCCGCTTCATCTATTCGAATATCAACAATCAAGTAACATTCATATATATGACTTAATCAATGACCCACAGTCTAGCCATATACCCGACCGATAGCTGCTACCCTGATGTGGTGGTCGGGCTTGCATATCACAATGACCCAACGAGCTATGCTGGTGGAACGCTTGTTCCCTCGAGGTCCTACCATACCAGAAAGGTCTGTTGGGTAGTGGTTAGACGAAAAGCAGTTACCCTTATAGTGTAAATTGCTACACTATGATGGGGGTCTGAGGGCGAAGTCGTACTGCTGCTAGCTGGATGGGGTGTGACAGCAGTAAGGTGTTTCCCTTGGATGACCAGCAGTGCCAAGCTGATGCTGCCTTCTCAGTGGAAGGGGGGGTTAGAAAAGGTCGGCCCCAAAAATAACACACTCCACCACGCCCCACGGTCTGCCGGTGTTGGTTCACTTGTCGTTTCCTTTCGACCATCCGGCCCCAAAAATACAAAAATTCAAAATAATCATACTCAAAAGGCTGGGTGTGACAGGCCTCAAGCAGATGTCCGATGGGCTCTGCGGTCACACAAATCTCTTTCAGGTACCTTAAGAAGAAATAGCCTTCCACGGTGTGGGCAGCCGGGAAGTGTCAACCGCCCTCACAACTCTGTCAGCACCCAAGTTTCTTCTGACTGCTATCCTCCTCCTCCATCATTACCTTCTAATCTTCCTTCACGTCTCTTAATTAATGATGCTGCATCATCTTCAATTTCTCCTACCTCTGCAGCCTTCGACAACGATCTGAGTCCACAGAACAGCATCCCTGGTCTCCTTAAACCACGCTCCAAATTACATATTGGAGCCTTCAATGTCCGCACCCTCCGTCAAATTGGCCAACAGGCTTCGTTGGCAAAGACTCTAGCAACTCGGGCATGGATGTGTGCTGTGTTTGTGAGACACGCATACAGGACCCAAGTGTGGTTATTCACCTGACCTCTCCTGACCAATCTGGTGAATCTGCAAAATTCACCCTTCGAGTTTCTGGAGATTCGATAGCTAGCTCTCGTGGTCTTGCAGGTGTAGGTATAGCATTAAGCACCAGGGCAGAAAACTCACTACTAGACTGGATCCCAGTTGATAGTCGCCTCTGCGCTATGAGGCTGAACGGCACAGTGAGAACTAAAAGGAATAGTGAGACTCGCCGTTGTCTCTTTGTAATCTCTGCTTACGCACCCACTGACTGTAGTTCGGATGAAGTGAAGGACGAGTTCTACCATAAACTGTCTAACCTCCTCTCGAAAGCCAAACGTTCGGACGTAGTGGTTGTTGCAGGTGACCTCAACGCACAGGTGGGTAGACTGAGTGAGGCAGAAAGGCACTTAGGTGGCACTTTCGGAATCCCAGCTGAACGTACAGATAACGGTGATCGCCTATTACAACTATGCTCAGATAACCGCCTATTTTTAGCCAGCACAAATTTCAGACATAAAGAAAGGCACTGTCTGACCTGGCGTCCACCGAGCTCGACTCAGCGATGGACACAGATAGACCACATTGCTATTAGTCATCGCTGGAGAGGATCGGTGGAAGACTGCCGCTCCTTCTGGAGTACGTGTTTGGACAGCGATCATGCGTTGGTCCGAGCACGTATATGCCTGCGTCTCAATGGACGTAGAAAAAATTTGGCAACAAAACCACTACGAGTTCTGCTGGACAACGAAAACACCAAAGCCGTGTTCAGTGAGAAGTTGGCTAGGCAGTTATCGGAACAAAAGACTGTCACTCATCCAGAAGAAGCTTGGTGCCATCTTCAGTCTACTGTAAAAGCAGCACTGGAGACTGTAGCCGACTCCAAGATAATGGCTAAAAAGAGCCAGTGGATATCAGCAGCTTCTTCCAAACTAATGGATGCACGTGAATGCATCCCTGCAGGCTCTGAGTACAATGAAGAGCGAGCGCAACTTAAAAATAACTGACGAAAAGTCTGCGCAACGATCGTGAACAGTGGTGGGCAGCAAAGGCTAAAGAGATGGAAAAGGCAGCGGCGATCGGTAACAGTAGACAGTTATTTAGACTTATTAAGGAGACTGGGGGGAAATGGTCAACAACAGTTAGTGAGGTTATAGCGGAGAAGGACGGATCGGCGATTCACTCGCAGGGAAGGCGACTGGGACGATGGGCAGAACACTTTGAGGAACAGTTTAACTGGCCTCCAGCCACCATTGCGCTGCCCGCTATCCAGTCGGACCCTGAATGGGACATAGAGACAGGTCCCCCAACACTAGAAGAAGTTGAGAAAGCGGTAGGTAGCCTGAAACGGGAAGGGCAGCAGGACCAGACGGACTACCTGCTGAGGTATACAAGAATGGTGGTAGAGTTCTCTTAGTCAGGCTAACGGAAGTGTTAGCCAGTATATGGGAATCAAATACGATCCCCTCCGACTGGTCTAAGTCACTCATCATCCCAGTCTTCAAGAAAGGCGAGAAGTCCTCTTGTGATAACCACAGAGGAATCAGCCTGACAAACATAGTGTCTAAGATCCTAAGTTCTATAATTCTCCGACGCCTGAGTGGAGCTCGGGAACAGCAAGCCCGAGAAAACCAGGCAGGCTTTAGACCTGGCCGTGGATGTATCGACCAAATATTCACACTGCGCCAGGTCCTGGAACATAGGCATGCTTACAGACGCCCGACAATAGCTGTATTTCTCGACCTGAAGGCGGCATTTGACTCCGTTGATCGAGAAGTCTTATGGCAGTGTCTGTCACTGAAAGGCGTGCCTAGTAAGTACATCACCTTATTGAAAGCTCTCTACTCGAACACTTGTGGGCATGTTAGAGCCTATGGTGAGTTGTCCAGGGAGCTATACTCATCAAGTGGTGTCCGTCAAGGATGCCCACTATCCCCATTCTTATTTAATTTTATCATAGATATTCTTATGGAGGTTTCCCTCTCGTCACCTAATTACAAGACGTTGACCCGATCACAGGTGAATTTTCCTTAGATCTAGAATATGCAGATGACATAGTCCTGTTAGGTGAAGACGCTGACAAGATGCAGAGTCTTCTGAACACTTTGAGTGGGAATTTGAGAATGTTTGGGATGCGATTTTCACCACCCAAATGCAAATTTTTGCTCCAGGACTGGTCTTCAGCGGTACCGCGGTTAACAATAGAGAGTGAAGTGGTTGAGTGTGTTGACCACTTCACTTACCTGGGAAGTAGGATCAACCCGGTGGGTTAGTTGCCGATGAGATTTCTGCACGGATACAAAAGGCTCGATTGGCTTTTGCCAATTTGCGCCACCTATGGCGCCGCCGTGATATTCGTTTGTCTATTAAGGGTCGCGTGTACTGCACAGCAGTCCGCTCTGTTCTACTGTATGGCTGTGAAACATGGCCATTGAAAGTGGAAGACATGAAAAGGGTTCAGGTGTTTGACCACCGTTGCCTTCGTAGTATAGGACGTATTCCGTGGTGTCACCATGTGAGTAATGCAGAAGTTAGGTGTAGAGTTTTAGGGAGAAGAGGTAAGTCAGTCGACGAGGTTGTGAACCTTCATCGACTGAGATGGTTGGGACACGTACTACGTATGCCTAGTCACCGATTGCCTCGTCACACAATGTTGGCTGAGGTGGGTTCAGGCTGGAAAAAGGCCCGAGGTGGCCAGACTAAAACATGGCACCAATGTATGAAGTCTCTGACTGTTGGTTTAAGCCATGTAGGACGATGCAGACTAGGTGGTTGGGGTCCACGGGACAAGAGGAACCAGTGGTTGGAGACCCTAGGTGATATGGCTCAGAACCGAAGTCAGTGGCGCAGATGTATACACACATTATCCTCATCTTAACAACGCTATACCGAATCTCACTATTTTGTCACTCCTCTTTCCTTTCTTCTCGTACTTTATATTTCTTTTGACTGCATTCACTTATCTTCATCCTTCACCTCACTACCTTTTTACTTGATGTGCTGATATGAGGTGTGGCAACTCGGACCGTTACGCAGTAATGCCTGGTCCTATGTTGATAATGATGATGCCATATGAGCCAAGTGTTTTCCGAGTTATACTATCGCTGGATTAAGTAGGCGAAATGCAACCAATAAATATGGCGTATTCGTTTGCAAACATGTATGTCGTTCGTAAAATTTTAGTATGCAACATTCAAAAACTGTCGAACTTCATACATATTTGAAAAGAATGAGAGCAAAAATATGAGGAGAGTTACGTAGTGCCATAGTGCCTACTTCGTAGGTTCCTCTACAGCTGCTAAGAACCTAAATTATCAAAACGATTAAATATACTAGGAGTTTAACATGCTTTAACATATAAGGATGAACACAGTCAGTCATTACAATACACAGGAATCGAAATAATGAAGTAAAGAATAACAAATTCGAAGAAAGTTAAGATAGCACACCAAATTGTCATGTTTATGAACATCGCGGAATTGAAAGTTCTTGAAAGGTGACAGTAGTAAAACAAAACATTGTAGGAATAAGATCTGACACATGACATCAGGTGGACGTCCTGAAGTCTTTCAAGACAGTTAGAGATCAAACTAGCTCAAAACTCTTACGTCTTGCTGAAGCCATGGTCATCAAACATCAGAAACCTGATTAATGCGTCCAAAGAAGCAGTTATTTATTTTTGTTTGTCATGGAAAAAACCGACTCCAAACTTTCATTTTTTACTTGCTTATATAATCCTTTAGTCGAATCTAGATGCTAAATCTAATCCCTATTCTGTAACATCATTTTCTGTTCCATCTAACAAGTCCTTATCGACCGAGTTGAACTCACTAAATTTTACAGAACGGTTTTTCTCAACACGCCTATCCGCTGACTTACTCTCATAACCCGATGCTTCAATCCCCATAATAGTTTGTTCTACTAACGTAACTTTCCAGGAGCCTTAACTTTCTTCGGATTTTTTTGTTTACTATATTATGTCGATTCCTGTATACTCTAATAACTGACTCAGTGTTTATCCTAATGCATTAAAGTATGCTGAACTCCCAGTATACTTATTTCCTGATGATTCAAATTATCAGCAGCTGAAAATGAACTGACGAAACAAAACGGTACCATGTAACTCTGTTCAAATTGCGTTTCTTGAGCTCATCAAGTACATATTTCAAAATATAATGCAAAAGGGTGTAAATCGGAAACAGACAACACTACTATGCTTACTTGTACAATTTTACCTTCCAATTATAAAGACTGTCATTTTGCAGTTCAACCGTGAAAATACCTTTGAGAAAAGTTTTTAAAACAAAATAAACAAGCAAATATAAATAAATAAAGTCTGGCTCAACTTTAGAATTCTCATTTCGAAAAAAAGTGAACACAAGATGATAAGAACAAAAACGAAACTACAACCTACCTTGTTTATAACTATCTGATCGATAAATTTCCCTCAACTCCTTCATTAGGCGGTCAGACGACTGGATTGAACCCTTGGTAATGCCCTGAAGATAAAGTAACAAGAGTATTAGCGATAATAAAAATAAGAAAAGTACTGCTGAACAGATATACAGGCAAATAAGTATTAAAAAAAAAAAGAAATCAACCAGCACAAAATATATTCAACTGGGCAACAATATATTGAATAATAAGAATGAAACGTAAAAATAATTCATTCAGAACTGAAACTAGCTGTTATATATATATATATATATATATATATATATATATATATTCAGTAGTACTGAACAGCTTTCTCAATTTCTTCAATTCCTAATTGTGTTAACAATAAATTGAATAATTAGCTAGTGTTCGTGGTGTGGAAGCCTTGAATATTTCCAGAAAAGTCAGGTGAGCGCCACAAAACTTTCACTGCATATCGTAATTTCATATTTTGTGTGACAACTGAGATACGGCCTGAGCCCCGGGGCTGTAGCAGGTGGTTGTCTTAAGGGACCACCACCCCTTGAGCCTTTTACTTAAAGTCTAATCCACAAGACAGTGAGGCAACTTTAGGAGCTGCATTCCCATAGTTGCCGGTTACCGAAATAGGCTTTGACATCATTCGTTCCATCTGGAACTTGGAGCTTATGTACATCATTAGTTTGGAATCAGGGTTTCCCAACTCCCCTAGGTGGAATCGGAGTATCTACTAATCCGGTGATAAACGCCGAACAGAATTCATTTCTCCTAGTTTTTGTTTGTTTGTTTCATATTTTGTTCCTATACTTGAGTTAATTTGTTGACATTCTAAAGGTGGAGGGCATGAGGATACTTTAGGTGTTCGACCACTATTTTCCTTATAACATAAGCTGTACGTCACGGTGCTACCGCATCAGCAACGATGAAATCAGGCGTAGCGTTTTTGTTAGAAGAGGAAAGTCAGCTGATAAGATTGTAAACCTGCATCGACTCAGTAGGTTGGGCGTATATGTTACACATCCTTAGCCACGGTTCGCCCCGTCGCACAGTGTTAGCTAACATAGGTCCAGGGTGGGAAAAGACTAGAGGCAGCTAGAGTAAACCGTGGCACCACTCCCTGAAGTCTTTGGCTGTTGGTCTGAGCTACGTAGGGAAACGAACTCTCCCAACTGAGGTCAATGTGATAGCTGAAATAGGGGGTTGGAGACTCTAGGCGATGTGACTAAAAATCTACTACAATATAGACGTATTTACATCCACGTCAAACCGAATGTCAGTATTGTCTTTTTTTCTGATTTCCTACTACTAAGACTATTTTCTTCTTCATAACTTTCTTTTTCATCATGGTGCATTCTCGTTTGATGTGCTGGTAAGAGGTGTAGCAACATGGGCCGGTACGTAGTAATGTCAGGTCCCACGTCGTTCCTGACTGATTGATTGGGATACCAATTGCGTAATTTGTTATTCTAACAACAATTATTTCCCTCATAATTTCATTTTGATCACAAATCTACTATTTGATCATTTGTCCAAGTGTCGATCAATTTTCCCTCTGCTTCATATCACTTTCAAATAACCGATTATGAAACAGCATCATCCCCACCCTCAACTTGCAAAATGTGCATTTATTATTAATCTATGGAAATGATCCTGTATCGAACCTGAAAACAATGCAAGGCAGCAGTCACTTGAATTTTTCAAGGATGGAGGTTGGAAATTGCTAATTAAAGTGGAGGTACTAGGTATTGTGTGGGAACCAGAGGTAGTGCCGTCAAACTCGTCTACTCTGATTATCCTAGTCTATAAAAAGGGAGAGATCTTCTTATGACAACCATGGGATAATCAGTTTGACTAATATTGTGTTTAAGATCACCGGATCCATAGATATCCGACGCCCAACTGGAGCTCAAGAACAGCAAACCCCAGAAAACCAGGCAAGGTTCAGACCTGAACAATAGATAATACTTTTACCCTTTAATAGGTCCTGGAACACAGACATACCATTGGCCGACACTTGCCATATTTGCTGACCTGTGAAACATGAGGTGTTATGGCAGTATGACTGTGAAAGGAGTACCGAACAAGTACATAGTGCTAATTAAAACTCCCTGATCGAACTTACGCAGCCTTATCAGGGTTTATGGAGAGTTGTCATAAGAATTGACGACAACTAGTGGTGTCCTCCTCCAAGGATCCCGAATGTCACTGTTCCTATTTAACTTTGTCATACACGTACTAATAGACATAACCTTAAGTACGCCTGACTTCATCACACGGATTGATCTACTCACTAGAGGTCATCCGGTCGACTTCGAGTGTACAAACGATATTGTCCTGTTGGGGTGAAGGTACTGACAAAATGCAGGGGCTTGTGAACGTGCTAAGCAGAAATCTGAGTATGCTCGGCATGTGTTTCACACCTGCCAAATGTCAGATGATGCTCCAGGACTGGTCTGATGCAGGTACTCCCAGTTTAATGAAGTGGTAGTGAAGTGGTGAAGTTTGTTGACTACTTCACTTATTTGGGGAGTTGCATCAATCCGGACGGGTTGGTTGCTGACGAAATCTCAGCTCGGATACAGTAGGCCCATTTGGCATTCTCCAACTAGCGGCATTCCTGGTGCCAACCGGCGAAATATCCAACTGCCCATCAAAGGATGAGTATACTGCGCTGCATTCTGTTCTGTCCTGTTGTACAGCTGAGACACGGCCGTTAAAAGTAGAAAACATGAAGCGGTTACAGAGTCCTGATCATAGGTGTCCTCGTAGCATTGCTCGCGTTTGGTAGAATCATCGTGTGAGCTATGTTGAGGTCAGGCGAAGGCTACTAGCCAAGATAGGCAAGTCGATTGATGAAGTTGTGAACCTTAGTCGACTGAGATGGTTTGGACATATGTTGCATATACCGAGTCACCGTCTACCTCGACGTCCCATCCTAGGAAAAACTGAGTTAGGTTGGGAGAGGGTTCAGGGCGGGAGACCAAAACGAGGCACCAGTCGATGAAGTCCGTGACAGTTGGTCTCAGACATGTGGCGGATGCAGACTACCTAGATGAGGTCTCCGAGACGATAGGAATCAGTGGTTGAGGACTCTTGGTGACATGGATGAAAATCGGTCACAATGGCACAGATGTACTCACTTTTTGACATCTTCTAAAGCTTGAATATTCACACTAACCTTTATTTTCAAATTGTTTATTCTCTCACACAACTGTGTCTACTTTGATATCACCTCTTTTCTATTCACCCGTTCTTTGTGTACCACTGTGAAGTGTGGCGACTTGAACGGATCCATTTGTGTGCGTGGTTCTACGTTGATTCTGTCTGGGTCTATGGGACCGCAAAGTGTACTGGGGCAGAATCTAACACTTAAAGGTAGACCAAAACTTCAACCAAAATACATTTTCGCTCAAATCAATCGTCTCAAAGTTTTGGATGGATGGACGGACAAATCAATAAAATCCCTACAAACCCCAAAATCGAAATAACTAATCACAGAAGGGTAAACGATGTATCTACCTGTATTTGAGTAGCCTTAAGTTTTTCCAATTGCTCAGCATCTTGTGATGAAATACCATCATATTCAGGTCGATCATCTGCTGTAATACTGTACAGGTAAGAAAAAACAACGGCAATAAACAATATAAAAACCAAGTAGATATACACTTAAAACTAATTTATCTCTGCACAACTTCAAATTATCCAGAGTTCAGACCACAAGGAACAGTTTATTTCCAGTAGTTTACACAGTAGAACTAAGCTTAACAAATAAACAATCTTTGCATAGCTACACTATAATAATCTACTTGCAATGACATTAAATCACATATCTTAAGAAAACCAACTATGAAGGTCTCTAATGCATCCAAATATATTGATTTTTTTAAGTATCCAATCCTCATACCTTAAGGTTTTGCATATCTTTCAATAGTAGGCCAATCCTCAATCCGAGACTAAAGGATAGCCTACTTAATCTTAGGTGTTCATCTTGCAGATATCTATTTAACCATTCCTGTTGAACAAGTTGTATAGAGAATACGATTAAATAGGTGCGTCTGCGGCTTGGTTCGGAAAGGGCAAAGTGGGTGGTGAAAAGTCCCATCCTAGTGCACCTAGTAAACACAAGGCATCACAGAGATGTGAATACAGATTTTAGCGTTATTCATCATGTATCAAAAACACTACATGTAGCTTTTCAACACCTTTTAAGCATAGCTGGGGTTGTCACTATAAGGTTGACCAAACCTGAACTGTCCATTTACAAAGACCATGTCTAGACGGCATTCCTCGCTTCAACTTTAGTAAACTAAAGGCCACCCCTGTCTTCTTTATTCATCTGTTTTTTCCGTTCGCCATCACATCACTCATTTGCACATCTGTCATCCTACTATCGCCAAATTTTTAAAACACCGATTTCCCTACTGTCCCTAAACCGCACTTCATTTTGAAAATGTAATTGCCCTTAATTTGGCTTGATTTTAGACTGTGCAACCACATTTTATAGTTGTGGAACCTGATGAGAATTTATTGCGAAGAATATTCTTCGTTCAGATTGTTGGCTTTTATTAAGGCATACCAACTACTTCTTGTCCCTATCACATAAGATGTAGGTAGCATAAAGAAAATGAACCAACTAAAATACTTTGTAATTCACTATAATAGGTTCATCATGACATTTTATGAATTACGCTGAACGTTCGGTAACTGCAAATAACTTCAATATCATCACTGATGATATCATTGAAGCTAGAAATAACCACAGTACAAGCATTTTACAAACACAATGCCGAAGCTTAAACAACACTGCTCAGAATCACGGTTCTACATTCGATAAGAATAATCAATACGATGAAAAATTAGTAATAGTTACCTTCATTTTGAAGGAAAATGCGATAAATCAACGAATATGCAAACTTTAAAAGAAAATTTCTTTTTCAAAAGAAAGATTAGTGAGTACAAGTTCTGCATTGAGATCTATCAACTAACAATCAGTCATTACCTACATTTACTGGTATCACGTTTCTGTTTGACTGACTAACTTCAACAAGAACGACAAGGTGGAACAGTGGTGCAAGTCAGTAATCACAGGGCAGGTTCATACACAAAGTTATCAGTCATGCCTATAGTATGGTAGTTAATGGCTCTGCCTAGTTACCTGTAACATGGATGAAGTTGGATTCAAACAATTGACCTACCTATGCAATGAAACTCCAACATCTAAACCAATCAAGTTTGAAAAATACATATCCCAGATAATCTAGTCAACGAACCTTTATAACTTCACGAGTTGATTTAGTTGTTTCACCCGGAACTCTACTCATATCTTTAACAACTACTCTATTCAGTGCGATGAATATTTTACAAACGTTAAACGCGTGTAGTCTTATGTTAGGTAATTCCGATAACCAGTTTTCAGTTACACGATAAAACACGGAGTAAAAGTGAACCACACACTCATTCGCTGGTAAATCGAAATACTCTACCAGAGGCAAACAGACATGGAGATCATAATGTTAATCGAGCTTACAGTATCCATTCTCAGATCTCACTGCCACCCATCCACAACAGTTAATGGAGACTTTTAAGTGATTAGAGCAATTACAATATGCTCAACCAACTGACTGCGTATTACTCATTTAGGTGTCAGCAGACTAATTTTAAAAGATTATCTCACCTTCAAAAGATTCAAAATTCATACTAAGCATTTTAACTTTTCGTGTTAAGCTGTTAAACGGTATTTTGAACACTGAGTGTATTCGACTAACACTTAAAATAGATTTTGAAAAATCCCACGGTATATGATTGATCCCTGTCAAGTCAGACAGAGTAAAAGTCATCCCCCATTAGTACATTTATGACACAGAGAGAGGAAAGGAAACCACTGATCATGATTGCTGTGCTTGGTGGTTTAGTTTACCTATTGTGATGATGAAGTCAAGCTATATCTTTTGACAAGCTTGTTATATAAATTCCTACAAGGTTATAAAGTAGGTTGTGCAAACAAAGAATGATCTGACTGTGTAGTGCTAAAGTTCGTGTATAATCATTTTGGGCCTAGCGATAAGGTCATAATGCTGCCTGTATAAGAATAGAACAACAATCATAAGATGGTTCTGATGAACAGATAGAACCACTAACAATCTTGTCTTCAAACTACCGACATAAGCGATTTTCAAACAAGCTCTGTAAACAGAAACCACTCCGCTACCCATGGTTGAGCGCAGCAACCAGTTCACTTACTTGGGAAGTCAGACCAGCCCTGGTAGGGCAGTGGTCGATGAAATCTTGAAACCAATACTTTAGGCTCGACAGGCTTTTGATAAAATATACCACTTTTGTCGACAATCCTCCCCCATTGAGGATTGGTTATACAGGTTAGGAAAAAAGCTGTACAACTTACGAAACTTCAAATGGATCATTTAGTACTACATCCTCATCTTCAAAGCCAGTATCTTCTGCATCGCTATTCCTTTCTGAACACACAGGAGGTTCGGCAGTAGAAACGCTGTCAACAGGAAGCTGGAACGAGAAATGAATGCATTATGAAAATATTATGTATAAAAGTAATAATTAATGACCAAAATATATATGACCTGAGACTCCAATTGAAATGTTAGGATAAGGACGGTATAATATACAAGATATGATTTTTAATGACCAAACAATCAATTAGCGTCTTTGTTATTTTACAAGTCCCTAATTTAAAAGGGGAATCCGAAAAACCACTGTCACACAAAATAGGCAAAAATATGAAGGTTAAGGAAGACAATAACACAAAACAAATAGAAACATAAAGATGTGTCCAAAACCTCAGAAGCTTTTGATTCAACTTGTCAAAAGTAAACCAGTTACAGAACGATTGTTAATCGGTCTTGGTTTTGAACATTTGACAGCGCTTTGAGTTAATAAACAATCCAAATACAATACACAAACTTCGTCTACTACACTGAGTCACATTCACTATGAGGGTAGTGATACTACTTGACTTTGCACACTTAAATAGACGCAGAAGGGGTATTTTGTTAGGCTCAGCACCTAAGCGAATGAGTCAAAACCAGTAAGCTATTTTTCAAACTATATTCAAGTGTTCACCATGCAGTCGCTAATGCCCAACTAACACTGCTATTAGTCAATCAACTGCACCACTTAAAAGCTGATTACCTTCTCGCTCTTAGAGTTAGCACCACAGCAAAATGTTACAAGCCCAAAAGAACCTCTTTTCTCAACATAGCTTAAACTCAGTAAGAGACTTCATGGATAATTACCACGTCTTGGTCAGGTCACCCTTAGCCTTTTGCAACAACCATGCTACAAATAAAATTGCGTGCTGGAGTAAGCAGTTGAGCTGGAATATGCAACACGTCTGAGTCACCTCAACTGATAAAGGTTTACGACCTCACCAACCGAACTACATAAACTTAAACGTGAACGTGAAGTTTTTACAGCATGGGAACTATTGGTAATTCAAGGGTAGAACTGAAGACTTTTCATGTCAAAAAACAACAGTTCTATTCATATTTATCGACCTTTCAACTCTGCAATTTTTAACAAATTCTATTTCAAGTATCTCGATTCCTACTAGCCCTTATTTACTTGTGTAAATAACCACAGGAACCGTATAATCGATGTAACATATAGACAAGTGAATACCTAAAACAATACTAGTTAAACACGGTAAAAATAAAATGCTAACGTACTGGTTTGGGATTAAAATCTGGACATAGATTGTTCACTTCAGGAGGGTAGGGTACATTCTTGTATCGACATAATTCAATCACAAGGATTTTAATTTGACGATCAATCTATAAAATATTGAAATCACTAAAAACAATTTGATAAAACTTACAGTATAGCTGTCAGGTTCAACAGTTTGAAGTTCACGGAAAATTTGTGTTACAAATGTATCTTCAGAATCGGAAAACCATATTGGAGATGACTGTGGATAGGTGCCCTAAATAAGTATGAAACGTTTGGTCAACAGGCAATTAAATAAATATATGTGAAAACAATCAGATCAGATCAGATTATGTCAGCCAAGTCTTAAATCTATAAAAAGTTCAGCTTTTGAAGTTTACTTCCCTTGCTAACATTCAGAAGAATAGCAGCAATGTCAAAAGGCAGGTAAACTCTGGATAGTCCACGATCTAGTTTATTAAATGGTGAATAAGCAAGTATTCTAATCTCAAGAGTTGATTAACTTTCAAAGAGAGTGATTTACAATGGGATCACTAAACTTAAAAAAATAAAAACAGCATAACATGTCATAATGTTCATCGTCGAATCTTGATGCTGAGTGGCAGTTGTTGTCGATATTTAGGGAGAAGTTTCTGTAATCTTCAGGAAATCCATGTTGCATAACATGGAGAAGAAACTGAGTCATCTAGTGTGGCAACAAGTAGGTTGAATATCATCCCACCAAAGCCTATGAAGGATAAGACTGAGAGCACCAGATATAGTAATACTATGTCCTTGGCACCATAATTATTTTTCCTGACCGATAGCTGTTACACTGATGCAGTGGTCATACTTGTATATCACAGTGACAACGACCACCGCTCGTTAAAACTCTTGTTCAATGAAGTAGGGTCAGTCAACATCAACGTAGGTGTCACTGCACTGAAAAGTTGTGCTGGATGTTGGTAAGAAAACAGGCATTTACTACCATAGTGTAAATAGCTAAGATATGATGAAGATTCGAGGGTTAAGTCGTGCTGCTGGAAAGATGGAGTGTGACAGCAGTAAGTTGTTTCCTGCAGATGACCAGCAGCGCTATGCTGGAGTTGAGTTAGATTTGAGAAAAGAGCTAAAAAGGTAGGTCAAGAAAAATAGGACACTCGACTTATTCCTGTGATGAAGGCCTCTTATGGCATCTAAGACAAATCATGATTAAATGTGAAACATCCATAAGTTGTATGACAGCCTTCAAGTATATTTCCGATGGGCTCTACGGCCACGTAAGGTGTACCTTGTAGATGACGGCAACGCCACACTGATGTGCCTTCCCTACACGAAGGTTTTAGAAAAAGTTGGCCCCAAAAATAGCACACCCGTCTGCCCCATGGTCTGATACCGAGCGGATGGGGCCGTACCTAGGACCATCGTAGAAAATGCCGGAACGCAAACTGAAAAGGGATGAACAATTTGCAAATGATACACAGACTGCACGGTCCACGTTGGCATTCCTTACAGCTGAGTAGTTTCTCAACTCCCCAGCTGTAACGTCGACAGTTTCTCCACTGGATCACAGGGATGTGATCTCTGGCACAAAAGTGTCATGAATTAGAGGAACATACTACTACCGAACAACTTGATACCTCTCAGGCAGATCTTAAGTATTTTACCAGTCAGATAAGATTTAAACACTTGATGGCGGTTCCGCTCGTATGGGGCTAAGTTCATCAACAGTGTGCCCGGACAAATCCAGCTCACAGTAGAGTTAGTTCAGACCCCCTGAATTTGTCCTGACATTTTTTAGTGTGTGGCCCAACACTGCCTTATTCGGCCTGGCGAAAATGTTGACTAGGCCATATGCTAACATTACAGTAAATTATCGAGACGAAAATAACTAGTCCAACATTTTGGGCCATATCTTATGTCCATAACAACTTAGGGTGTAAAATAGCAATATAAAATCCTATCTAGCCCCAAAACTTACCAAAAGACTACCTGTGATCTCTAGAGAAGAATTATCACAAATGAAGGAACAAGATATCTCATCCAGAGTACAGGAAGTAATCCGAAAACGAGGATGAGACTTCGGGAACATTTCTTGTAACACTTGTTGGTGTTGCTTGAGTTTCTTGATACACGACATAATAAGCCACTAAAGATACTTCCAGACAGTACACTGCCCGTCACCGAAGCCGCTATGACTTCCCGCCAGTGAGATAAAGTGTAGCGTCTCCTCGCTCTGATTTGTTAACATGACATTCAGCGTGAAAACCAAAACGCACTACTTTCAGATCCTCTTGAGATATGAAGATTTGTGTTAAACCCCTAGGTATCTGAAACTAGGATTATGATGCATCATCTCATGTCCATTGAAAGGATTTACATACTTACCTAGCTTTCGTTCAGACAGTTTAAACGGTTTTTGACCGAATAGAATTAGCTTACGCTCAAGTGGCTTCCGCATCTCGAATCCGTGGATCACTACATCTTGTGGTTGTTAATCTGTGTACAAATAAAGAGAGAGCAAAAAGCGGCGGTTAAAATGTGAGAATTCAGTAACTCCGGGGCAGATCCCAGCCACAAGTCAAATAGGTGTGCAGTCGGCGTTTCAAGGGTCCAGATGAAGTAGCCTGGATCACGCCTGCAGGAAGAGCATTCCAGGGTTTGACAACTCTTAGGGAATAGAAGTTGGGTCTGATATCTAACCCTATGCGTTCCATGCTTGGTTTCTGTATGTCCGCTAAGGTTAGTACTCCAGCTTAGATTCAATAAGCGGAGTGGGCGCCCAGTAGTGCTCAAGATGTTGTAAGTCATTACCAAGTCTCCTCTTAGTTTTATGTATTCCGGGGGATGCAAACTCGGTGCAACCAGTCATTCTTCGCACGTTTTGAACCTAAGTCTTTGAACAGAATTGGTCGAGCGCCTCCGAATGAGTTCAAAGCTTAATTTGTCCTCCTGAAGAGAGGAGGCAAGACGATGGCCCACAACTTTAGGTAAAGCCGTATGCAGCTGCTAAAAATTTGATGGAAACACCTACGATCGAACTGTCCGAAAATTCGCCAATTTTTCACGAAATGGGTTAGTGTGATAGCATACAATTTTAAGTCTTGGGGGACCTAAACGCCTAAGTCCTCTTCTGAAGGCGACGCTTCAAGTTCCATACCACCGAGGCTATATACATGACGTGCATAATATTTTACATGTGACACTTCGTTTTTTACAGGATTAAATGTGGGCCCGTTGTCAACTGCTCAGTTTTGCAGTTAAGTAAAATCTTCCTGCAGAAAGACTCTGTTTGCATCACTTCTAATTTCTCTCCGTAGCTTCTCGTCATCGGTAAAAGGAAGGATTTAGAAAGAAGCCTGTCAAGGCAAGTATTTAATGTGTTATAAATAGAAGAGGCCCCAACATTGAACCTTGAGGGACGCCAACAGAACAACCTTTTCCTTCAGACACTGAAAAACTGAATCAAACGACTTCTTAGGTACAAGGGCAGCTAGCTGATAAGCATAGGTTTCATCTCAGTTAATTATAACTGATCAATGAGGTAGTCGTGATTAACACTATCAAACGCCTCAGTGAAGCTTGAATAAACAACATCGATTCGACCACGACGGTCGACAGTACTGTAGTGCAGCGTCCTGGCACCAAAATACAACTAGGGCTGAAATAAGTAAATTAAATTAGTTGAATAAACCTGTAGCTCGCCTCCGGATGCTTAAGATGTGTAAAGTTTTGCTCTAACTCACACTTATCCGGGCAGACTTCGACGCCATTTTGCGCTCACTTTGTGCCTGCTATCACGCACGTACTCAGAGTCCCTAGTTCAGCCATGCCAACCAGGTAAGTTGAATAAACTTTTCCCCTACTCATTACTATTGCATTCGTTCCAATTAAATGTATCGCTTCTTCGAGTATATTCCTGAAACCAGTTCTTTGATTTATGTTTCATTATCAGCACTTACACGTCAGGTTAGGTACCGGTGAAGCAGGTACTAGAGCACATCAAGTTAAGTGGGGTTGGTCAGATGCTAATTAACTGTAATATAACCAACATACTCCACAGTATTAGTCCATCTATCTACTACAACGACCAGGCTAGCAATCCAAGGGAGCATAAAGAAGCTGATCTTTATCAGGTAATTCTTCGGTTCATCACAGACTAACGATTAAATTACTTTGGAATTTATGGCGAGCAGTGTCATCTACCTGCATTTTTAGGGTCACTTTGCTGACCTCATTTGAAGATTGGCGTTCTGTGCTCTTCAGCGCTTCAGTGTCGCTACCAGTTAGTCCTTTGGTATATAGAAGTTGAGAGACTCCCGCTTTAGCCTGCTGGCACGGCACGGCGTAGCGCAACACACCTTTCGGGTCAGAAATAAACATGTTTGTCAGCCTAACTTGGCGCCGCTGCCAATCGGCTCTCAATACCTTCTAGCATGTGTTTCTTGTCTGCTTGAATAGTCTCTAAGTGTATTCAGCGCCAGTCCTTTTGGCTTCGGCCAGGTGGGATCTCTTCAACCGAAGTAGTTAGCCATTGCGGTTCCTTACTAACTTGGGCGACCTAGAGCGCTCCGGTCTTCAGAGCGGAACAGACCGGTTGATTGCATGCATTATTTTGTCGGGTACGAATCTCCGATGGACGTTAATGTCCTGCCATACATGGCTAACTTTCCAGCCTGCCAGTTCCAGCGCCATCCGAAGAGCAGGAATGTTAAGTCACCTGAAGTTTCAATGACGCTCACTTAAAAGTCTTGTTAAATTAATTTTGCAGACATACTTAAGGCTGACAAAGGCATTGTTGACCAGCAGAAAGGAGGGGGGAATGGTAGTCTGTAAATCAGGAATTTTTTACTCGTGAAGGTACGGCCTAAGCAGGATGAGATTTGTGATTCCCTCAATCGCGTTACCGTTTTCACATTGTCCGTAAGCCCCAGTTTCTCAGTCAGACTGAAGAATCGGGCTTCAGTCGAATCATCACTACAGCCATACGTATGTTCTACAAAGTCAACCTTCCGCTGGTTAAAGTCGCCTAGGGTTATCATGTCTGTGTGCTTCAGTTTAAGAGAGCAACGGATAGCCTATGGCATCTGATTATCATATTGTACGTTAGCAGGCGGCTTCCTATAAAAGACTCCCACCATGCACATTGCGGTCCAGGACAGCTTTGTGGCACACGAGGTGGACTTCCTCAGGCGCTCCAATTCTTGAATGTAGATTTGGTGAGCCAAGATAGGACAGCAGACGTAATGTGTTACCCCACCCACCCCACCAGTCTCCTGTCGCTGTGAAACAGCATGGTGTTAGCAGCTGCCAGCTCGCGATCTGACGTTACAATAGAAACCTACTTTTCAGTAACACCTATAAGATAAGCACAAACGTTCTTGCTTAGTTCCCACAGTTCGTCAAGTTTGTTCGGTAAACTTTGTGCAGTTGAATGGGTGTGGTTTGTGCTATCTATCCGGAATGCACTTCACAAGCCAACTTCACTGTTCATTCGGTTGGCTAAATCCTCGGGCATGTGCCCAACTCCTGCCCAGTGGTGCATTGTCCCTAATCCCGTTTTTTCATCTAAGCCGTCTTCCAGAGGTACAATCAAATCCAGTTTTTTCCGTTTTCGTTGCAGCCCCTCTTTCTGCTACCTATCGGACTTCATGTGGACTCCTGGTGGTAAGCGACTTCGGTTCACCCAAAATGCCCCGGCGCGGGTGCTGACATTAGAAAGGCCAGGAACACGACTTTGATCCTGCCCGATCTAGAGTCGCCATCCTTTTTGGACATCCTTGTTGCCACCATCCTAAAGATCACAGCATCCTTGAAGAACTTCCACTTGCGAGATACGTAGTGAATATCCTTGGTGCCTCAGTTTTCGAGTATGCCTTGTTATGGGGTTCTTTCACTGCATCCGCATTCGAGCAACTCCCCCGCGTTCATGCAACCTGCGATGCACACCATTATAGCATCGCACGAAGATACTCCCTTGAAGCCTTTTGACATCTATTCATCCACTGTTTCATTGACTGGTGCCATTTTGTCCACTGCAGCCGTGGACAGCATACAAAAATTCAGAAAAATACTCACAAATTTATGTACAGAAGCAGATCCTTTGACTCGGCCTTGAAATTCAAAGGAATTTGGCCAACGTTCACCGAGTTATTAAGTGCGATGCAGAGCATCATAGCGGCCACGGCGGACATACGTCCGATTTGGCATGAACAAACAAAAATAGATCGTTTCGTCGGGAAGGTGATGTGTTGCTATCAGTATTATTTATTGTTGTCTATACAGTATATCTTGATGTTTCAATGAATCTTGAGATGCATTTCCCTTGAAAAATACATCGAGCTTGCCATGGCACTTCGCTCAATATATATGATCCTCCAAAATAAAGCAGTTTAGTAACTTAGCTGACATTGCTTTTTTTGGTGAAGAAATTCTTGAGTTACTTCATCTCCTTTTTAAGTGATGCCTTCACTTATTCGCTGGGCATTAATTTCATTTCTGCCAGATAACCTAAAAGTATAACAAAAATCCCAAGCTCAAATAGTGCACCATTTGCATATGATGTAAAGTTTTCTTTTTTTCGGACTGGGGATTTCCATTACCTGGGATGAAAGGGAGATGGCAAAGATTTTTTAATATCACCATAGACTTTCCACCACTAATTGTCATAGCCGTATCGGTAAAAATGACATGCACCCGTAAATTTAGGAACAAATTATCTATATCATTATTCCCACAAAGTAAGCCTCGCAGTTGTCGTCAAAGAGTTTCTTTACGACCGTTCTCACACACTGTGGCATATCTGGTAGTATCTTCACTCTCCCTTCAGTTTATAACACGTGAGATACTAACAACGTACCGTTAACATCATCTGAGTTGGAGAATGTAAGCCTTAAGACTTAACCAAAACTATGTAGTGACAGCATTTCCATCAATGGTAAGTCTAATCGAGCTTTGAGTTCAAAGAACCCACTTTATTTTACTCCGGTTACAAGTTAATTAAGACACTGAGACCCCATCTTTCTACTAAGTTTGGCGCAAATGCAACGACCATCTTTTGATAGGCTTTCTTTGGGCCTGTGTGCAGCTACGTTGTCGCAGGTGTGAGTTCAGTGGCCACCACGAGGATCCAGAAGGGGAAAGTGGAAGAGAAGAAATGGGCAGACGATTCAGTAAGCACACAAGATGTACCTATGTTTGTGACGAAAGT